GCCGATGGGGACCTTCCTCACCAGCAGGTACGCGGCGCTGGGCTCTGGGAGCTTGCACCACTGCAAAGCTTGCTCCAGCACCTTCTCCTTGGGGTGCAGGGGCCGCTCTGGGGAGGCAGGGACACTCTCACCGCTCTGTTCCCTTCCCTGTGCTAGTCCCTGTGCCCCCGCCACCGACAGCGAGCCGCCCCCACCCATACCCCAAACCCGCTCCTCACCAGCCCGGCCATGCCAAGAGCATCCCCCTGTGCCATCCCCATCATGCTCACCCAGCTCCCCATTCTCCAGGGCCTCGAAGGTCAGCCAGATGTCCAGGCTGGCCGCCACGTTGCGCATCTCCAGCACCTGGTTGGTGAGCTCCTCTGCCGTCATCGTGGGGGACACCTACGGCCGGACACACAGGGAGCTGTGGTGGGTGGTGGCAGATGGGTCCCAAGGACAGGCTGCACCAGGAGCCTGCATCCCTCCTCGCTTCCTCTGGTGTGACCCTCCTTTGGGACTCACCTTCAGGGTGACGCAGCAGTCGGGCAGCTTCTGCTCCAGGTAAACCTCGATGATGAGGTCCCCTGCCTGTGAGAGCTGGGGGAAAAGCGGGTGGCATTGATGCCATGCCGGCACGGGTGTCGTGCACATCCCCTCTCCCCAATGGCAATGGTGTCCCAGGGCTGCTTATCCCCTGGGCAGGAGCCTCAAGGTGATGGGCAAAGGGGAGACAAGTGGGGGAAGGTCCTTCCCCAAATATCTGGTGTGGGACAGTGAGGACCCAGGGTGGGCAGCTGGGAGCACCCCCATTCTCCAGGCAGTCCCACCAGCCCGGGGGTCCCTGACGTGATGGAGGCCGGCGAGCACATCCCCAGTACCTGGGTGTCCTTCCAGGTGGTGATCAGACTGTTCTCCAGATCCATCTGGGATACCTGGTCCTCATCAATCTGCAGGAGGAAGGGCACACAGGGTGAGAAGGGAGACACATGGAGTCAACGTGGAGTGGGATATGGCTGGAGGACACATGGCCAGGATGGAAGGATGCAGGGGGAGGCAGCAGTGGGCAGTATGGGGGGATACAAGGGAGACGGAGGGGGCTGGCAGGGAGCTTACATTGAAGATGCTGACATAGTTGTCAATGAGGTCTTCCATCACCTTGACCTCGTGCTCCCCTTTGCCATCGGTCTGGAAGAGGCTGGGTGCGAACAGCAGCGACAGGTTCTTGGTACTCATCTGGTTGAATTCCGCGCATTTCTGAACCCTGGGACAAGGAGGACAGAGGTGAGGGGCTGGTCCCAATCTGGATGGGGTTTCAGCCCCAGCCACTCTCCTCTGCCTCATACAAACTCCTCAAAAACAACCCATTTTTCTCCAGCTCCCCAGCAGTGGGACTTCAAGCTGGGCAGTTCCTGTTTGGAGGACTTCCAGCTGCCCTCAAACCGGACAACAGCCCCACCTCGTACTCTGAGTTGAGGATGGGAATTTTTTTCCCCTCTTTTTTGGGCACTGGGTGAAGTTTACGTCCTACAGGGGGGTGTGCCCTACTCCCAAACCTCCATCATTCCCCCTTGCTGCAGGATGACTTTGGGAACGTTTGAGATCCCCCAGGGTAGCATGCTCCAGCACACCCCAGCACCAGCTGAGGGGTTGATGGGGCAGGGCATGGGCACTGGCCAGCATTCCCTGGCCAGTGTGGAGATGCCACTGGCCTTGGGGACTCTGGCTGGACCAGGGGACCCAGTGGGGAGGTGGTCCACTGACCGGTAGAGGTGCCCGATCAGCGCAGCCAGGGTCTTGTGGTTGAGGCGAGGCAGGCGATGAATGAGCTCCTTGTACCGCTCCAGGCGCTGGGGCTTTGAGGAGATTTCTGGAGGGAGGAAAACGAGTCATGGACCATTTCTGAGTGCAGTGGCCACAGAGGTGACATGGGACCAGGGCTGGTACCCAGACCTTGTCCTGAGGGACGCCAGCCCTGGGGGTTCCCTGGCAGGCAGCCCAATGTGGGAGCAGGGGTTGGGTGAAGGAGGTACCTGCAGCCTCCTTCCACTGTGGGTGCAGCTCCAGGGTGAAGACGGGGTCCTCAAGCTCACGGAAGAATCTCTTCAGCACGTCGGTGACGTCCTCGATGAAGTTGTCGTTGATGCGCAGCTTGACGTTGCGGGCATCCCGCCGAAACTCCTCCATCAGTACCTTGATCCGGGACTTGGCTCCGTTCTTGCGGTAAATCCCCTCATGCCGCAGCCCTGGGGCAGGGTCACAGGGTCATGGGAGCCCAATCCTGCCCAGAGAGTCACCAGCGGGGCGGGTGGCCCGGGAGCGGTGCCTCCTGCTCGGACCCCGTGTGTGCCAGAGGATGCTCTGGTCATGATACCGCCACACTGGACTCACCGTACTGCGTGATGAAGGCGATGCAGCTGTCCACGATGATGGGGATGTCCCCCCGGCTCAGCTGCTGGTCCCGCAGTGCGTTACCCCGGCCCCCCGCCGACGCCTGGATGTCGGCGTACCACGCTGACGAGGCCGCCCGCGACAAGCCCTGCAGGTAAAACGTCCTGAGAACGACAAGGGCAGAGAAGAGGGAATGAAGGTTGCCAGGGTGCAAGTTACCCCCTCCTGCCCGTGTGCGCAGCCTGGCTCCGGGACAGGGAGCAAGGCACAGCCAGGCTGAGCCGAGACACCCTACTCTGGCTAGAGACCCCGGGCTGGGGTGACTTTGTCTAAGACCCTTGGCCACAGCCCTGCTGTCCCAGCAGCATCCTCACCGCGGGTTTGGGATCGGCATCGACCCATGCATCAGTGTCTTTGCCCCTGGCAGCCTGCTGAGCTCGCTTGGCATGTTCCCCATCCTTCCCACAGCCAGGACTCACCTTCCCATCTCCACAAGGATCAGCAGCTCCTTCTTCTCTGGGGTCTCTGTGGGGGGAACCAGACCTGCAGTGGGGTGAGAAGTACAGGGGTGAGAGCCATGTGCGGCCACCCACCACATGCTGCCTGTCCCGGG